AGAACAGGACTCGCCGGCGAGAATCTCCGTGAACGATGAAGTCACCGAGTCTGTGTAGTCGCCCGGAACCTAATCATTGTGTACGCGGAGCGGAAATGCGATTCATAGAGGATTCGAATGTTCCGTGATGCATCCGTGTTCTCCGCCCCTCTTCCCTCTGATAAAAGATGATATCATCCCTATTGACCTGTTTTCTCTGATTCGTCGGAGGCTCGTGGGTTCCCAATCCGAGTCTCCCGTTACTATCACCTACTCGGCAGGGACTCCTACCCTCCTCTGATTTCAGTTTTTGTTTCTGGTCAGAGTTGAAGTCCGCCGTCGAGGTGATGGAAATCGATCTTGATGTTTGATCACGGCTCGATGAATATTTCGAAAATGGTTCATTGGGTCATCTCGTCGATGTATCCAGCGTCCGAAGCTTACTATCGCCATTTCCCCTTTTCCTTGACGTCACGGCAAGCGAATTTGTGCGACACAAAAGGAGAGGACAATGACCTTGTTTTAGCCTTTTTCCCTTGTCGCAGTTTTCCTCATCCAACCGTGGCTCGTTTGTACTTCTCATATACGCATCTGTGCCGTTTCGCGCGCTCGGACTCCATTTGGGAAAGATGCTTTTCCTCATTTTCCATTCTTCTGGGCTAGCGATCTGTGAGTATCATGCAGTTTCTCCCATTCCGCCCGAATGCGGCGCTCTCGCTAATTTGAATTGGAATCTCCGGTACACTCTGATTAATCCCCATGTGAGAGATATCGCGGGAAGTTTCGCCCTCCCCGTGACGCTGATTCCATCATCAGCGTTTCAACGCTATCAACCATCTGGATATTCACCACGGAAACCCCTTCCAAAGACACAAGCACGGTTTTTTCTGTGTGAACAGTGCGCGCGCGGAAAATTTCCGGTCCCAATCAGAACCGTTTTCGTCTTTCTGCGTTGGAAAATAACTGATCCAGAAATCTGTACCGGCAATTCCTTCGTCGCCGATGGGAGCCAAGATGAGAGAAGTTTTTTCCACCTTGCGCAATTCTCGTCAACAACACCCGTCCAGCTAGACACGTGATGCGATAGACAGGGCTTCTCCGTCGAGACGAGACCACTAATTGTAGAATGATCTAGAAGGCGGTCAGAAACTCATTTTGGAAAGGTCCCGAGTTACTCCCTGTGGGAACTTCCTCACCCCAAGCAGCGCAAGCGGGGAAGGAACTTCGGGAAAGAGGGATCAGAAATCGTTCGGGGTCAGGAATCCGCGCGACGCATTCCGCCCTCCGAGTATGAAAACGCAGAGTAGTAGGAGCCTCGGGGACGATGGCAACAAACTGTGATTGACGCGTTGAGACTGTCTGCGTGAACGCCGGGTATGCCGGAGTAAACAACTGTTATCTCGCTGAAATGTATTTTCGGCCCTTCCATTGATGCAGGAGCTATCGGGCTCCTTTCCAGCTCGAAATTGTGGCCTGCAAGGCTCAGAATACCAGTGTAGAGAATCGAATCACGCATTCGTCCCCACAATCCCGTCCTCGCTCGCATCGTCGTGCCTATCGTCCATGTCAAGATGACTGAAAACAATATGATTACGGGCCTTCATATCCCTTCTGTGGTCGTCGTGGTTGAGGATAGATTCTCTCTGATTTCCGGCGGGACTTCATTTTCTCCCTTTTGATACAAGACGCTGTCTGCTTCCATGTTATGGAGTGAGAATCTTGCTCGCGCAAACACGCCTGGTATTTTCGTGACCTTGATGAATACTCTTTTCTAATATCCGCAGGTCTCAGCGGTGATGGGTGATGCTCCTCCGACTTCTCGCTGAGCCCTCACGGATAAGTTAACTGCGGGAAGTTTTTTTCGAGAATTTCATTCAGGTCTCCCGAAGTTGCAAGTGACTCGTGTCCGCTTGAAAAAGTTGAGAGTTACTCAGCCGTCAACACGCAGCGGAGACGAATAAACTAATGTCGGTGTCGACGCCCGCGTATACAAAGACCAGACTTGCGTGAAGCGACCAATGGATGCGAAGGCTTTGAGACGTTGGTCGCACTGCGCGTTATCCGCGGGTGGGGTTTCCCTGAGCTGGGATGTGAACCAGAATTTCACCCATGAAGTTGCCGAAGCAATTTATCGGAGAATGACTCACGCCGAGTCCCTCGGTATTTCCTCGTGTATCTGATTTCGGTCAAGTCCGGTCCTATCTGATCAATTCCAGACTTGGACGGCAGCGAGTTCCCCGATCATGTCCGAAGCATCAGTCTTTCCAACGGTTGACAGTATGAACAATCCTCTGGACATTTTGCGAATACGAGATGTTCGGTTTATTCGAGCATCCCGCTATGGCGGGGTCGCCTCGCGTGTTATCCCGGAGAATTCGTGAATTTGAAGACTCTTCCTACGACACATTTCCGAGTCTCTCTGCTCGCATTCTGAGAGGAATCCCCCAGCAAGCGCTTCCCATGGGAAGGAGTCGCCTCTCGCTCGGATATGCTGTCCCCAAACTGCGCGTAAACATTTGCTTCTGAAGCTACCGCTAGCCCCGAATATGCTCGCATCGGCGGTTTCATGCGGAACGTGTTCTCGAAAATCGAGTAGATAGGCTTTGAATTCGCCAGCAGGAATCTCTCTGCGCTGCAGTCGTTACCATATCTAGCAGAATGATTAGCTCTCCCAAAATTCAAACCGAAGAATTCATGCCGCAAACCGACTTGGCGAATCGTGAAATGCCGAAATAATCGATACATCTGACCTCCGGTAACTCGGGTGATCTCAGATTTCTCGTTCAGAAAAAGCTTTTGCGTGTTTCTTTCGTTCCGGGATTCCGCGCGGTTGTCCCGAATCGTCCGCATCGAACTCTGATGCGTTCTGAGCTTGCGAAGTGTACACGATTCGCGAAGCGCAATCGCAAAGCAGGTGTTCGGATGAAAACCGGAGCGCTTTTCCGCGCGGCGAGACCAACTCAGTAGTCTCGCTCACGGCCGACTGAGGAGTGACTCGGAACCGCTGCTATTATAGAAAAACAGTTCTGCTGCGACGCCATTGTTATGGAGCGCGTCACTGACGCAGCGTCAGAAAACCGCAACCTGTGATATCGTAAGGCCAACTTTTAGGAAGTGTATCATCGGCAATTTTCTGAGACACCAGGAACTCCACTCACCTGATGTCGTCTGCCCCGGTAGAGCCATTCCTATTGAATAATTCATTCTGTGCCTGGCCGGAGGCAGCTCTGCACCGGATTCGCCTCCGTGACCAGCTGCATTCGCGTTAGGGAGTACGATAAGGATCGTGTATCATATACGTTCAGCTCTTGCTCCATAATAATCAATACTCCGGGTAGTTACCTCTGGTACTTCTGAATCACGCATTTCTTCTGATCCGGGCTGCGCCAGGACAAGTCGGATCCGGACGTTGGAATCCCTTTTCGGTAGATCCATTGTTGGAGGAGCACATCCATTGGTCTACCCTCCGCCATGAAGCAATCGATTCTCTCGCTTCATTGTGTCTCCTCAGGTGTGTATCCGAGCCTTTGTACTTGACCCTGTAAGCCACGGGGAAAGCTTGGCGATCGGAGGGTATCGTATGAGGACAAAGGTGTTGTGGCGGAGTGGCTGCCCACAGCTCGAGGCCGCGAGAGAATCGCGCGGCCTCTACGAGAGGTTTTACAACCATACATAGCTCCGACGAGCGCGCGGATCATATCGGCGTTCCCCGAGCTGCTAGTCTCATCGAATAGGAACAATAATTCATGACATAATCATCGGTCCAGAGCCCAGCATTTACATTGATCCAAATCCTACGAGATATTCGGGTCACATGCGACCGATCCGAATTCGGTGCTTGGTAAATTGGAGTTTGCGTCGAGACCTTCGAAAGATTACGCAACGGGCGACTTTTGTTTGTTTCGTAATGATTTGTTGAATGACATCCACACAGAAGCTCTGCTTGTTTGGTTGTACGAATGTCGTTGTGGGATGCGTTCTTTCCGTGGCAGTGACACACTAAGAAGAATCCGATCAAGTCCAATCGATGCCTTCATGTAATAATTAGTGAAGTGGAGTGCGTGATTCAGGTCACTGACTGCATTATTTTCACGGGAACCGCTCTCGAGGGTAACGACTTCCTCGAAGAATTCGGTCGGGCCGTCTGAGAGAAGAGCAATGGGAAAATAGATTCCATATGGATATACCGAACGGGATCCAGTGCATTTTAAGTCCTGCGAAGACATTCCGAGGGGGAGACAGCCTCCGCTACAGAAAGCGGGGTATGGAAGATGGGAAGCAAGGCGATACGGAAAGCGTGCACGTCGGAGACTCCGTCGGCATATTCATCTCGTGTGTAACCATCTGTTCGAGACAACTGATCCCAAGGAGCGTTTTGGAAGCTCGACAGTTCCGCGGAACTCTACCGGCAACTCCAATGGTCTGACTCTGAATCCGGAATAGCGTACCGCTCGGACTCATGCCACCAACCACACGGCACAAATCGTTGAAAAATATGAAATGGAAATCGAGAAGACCCTCGCTTAAGGATGACCACGTAGGGATATTCTCTGGGTCGGAATAGACTCTCGGTTTGGGCAAGGATGCTCTGAGCCCGAATAAGGAGGAGCCTGATTCGAAGAAGTTTCCCGCGACCCCCTGCCACAGCGACACCCCCGGGTCGTAGAGACCTTTGTTCGGAGGGAGAAGATCTGTGTTTCCGTTGTGGGTCGATGCCCCAAAACCGAGTCGGCTGCGGACTTTCCGCCGATCCCGATCGGAAACATCAGCGAGGACCTGACGGAAAATCCAGCGCCATGCGAAGGCATGCGGGCGAAGGGCTCCGGCCTACGCTCTCCACTCGGCGCGCACATGCGAAGCCGCGCGATCAGGATTGCCACAATCGAACTGCAGTGACCACTGAACGGACAGACACCGCTCGTAGCTCGAGATGCCGGTTCAGCCGTCTGCTGGTTGAACGAAACTCTGTTCCAAGTCGAACTGTGTTGAATTAATTCGGTGTCGTACACATTGTGGCCAATATGTGCAAAGCTTACAGCATCGATCTTGGCAAAGTCCGCCGGAGATCGTCGACAGGCCGAAGAATGTCTCGGCTTCTGTGCGACGACGGAATGTGCTCTCCATCCTTTGTCGGGACCGAATTCCAAAGCGATATCGAGGGTTTGGAGAGCAAACTTTTTGTGTTTTGTGCGGTGGATTTGGTGGCGCGTTATCTCTTCAAACTCGAGGGTAAGTTCCGACAGACCGACTCTTCAGACTGCGGTTGTCACATTCGGCTATTCGATGATCATGGAAGGATTCATCCTGGGAGAGTATATCCCGTTCCCGAGGAAATCGATCTTCTCGTTCGAGAATATCAATGCGAGGCTTTCCGTCGATTTCTCCCGACCGAAGGCCCTCCTGCGGAGCTCTGCGAAAGGGACCGGCTCCGGATAGATGAATCTCTTCCAGTCCCCCCCAGGGAAAAGAATAATCGTAGGAAATCTATCGCCGCGATCACCGTGGTTGACCGTCGAGCCGCCTCCCGTTGAGAAGTCCTCAGAGGATGCGATTCCGTAGCATTCGTCTGACTGATCAGCTCATTCGGTGGATCGAAATCGGACGAGTCGCTCTGAATCCTTGATGTTCTATGCCTGTTCCCTACCTCGACTTAAAGTGACTGATGACATTTGACGCGGGCATTAATCTTCCATCATATGCGTGACAGCTCCGATGACGACCTTCATATGATGTATGGAGGGCTGCACGATTTGACGTCTCGTTACGATTGCCGGTGCGAATATTATCATAGACAGTGAAGGTTTCCGGTTCCGATCGACCGACGACCAGATATGTTGGGAGGAAGCATAACCCGTTTGCTTTGTAACCAATACGTTCGATCGCAATCTGCAGTGGGCTCGCAACAGGCGTCTTTCGTACGACGAGGCTTCGAGCGACATTCCGACGTGTCCCTGAAAAGTGTCTGGCGCTCTTCCTACGATTTATCGGTCTCGCGCCGGTGCAGCAAGTCAGGAGATAATCTGCCGTACAAATAGATAGGGATGATGCTTTACTGCGTAAGTCCAATGAGCTTTTCTGATTCGGAAAAGCCCTACCATGCTTGAGGACGAGGTCCTCCTTGTGTAGTAATACTTCCGCAGCGGAGCTCCCACAAGCGACTATGGCGCAATTTCCCACCTCCTGTTTCGCGAGTTCCGCTTATATTTTCCGTAAAGCATCGGAAACTCGAAATTCTTGATATCCGCGAATGTACTTTTTTTTGGCAGACCAGACTTCGTTGAGGATCGTTTGATTTTCCTCGACGTTTCTCTGACATCGAGGCTCTCCCCCAATACCGGTTCCATGAGGTGATCGACGACGTGAGAGGAAGACGCTTGCGGGATCGGAATTAGGAATCCTTCATCAGGAGCTCAACCACCGGGGGTCGCGCCACGAGCATGCAGAAAGCGGAGAACTCGACCACTGGCTCCACAGGCGGAGTGAACCAGGCCGTCTTAATGATGGAGGCCAATGCGATTCATCTGGTCCGTCGCGAAACTGTTTCTGTCGTTGATTTACATAAGAGAATGAGGAGGGAATTTCTTCTTCCATCCCGTGCCTGGTGGTCATCATTAACTTAATGGAGTCTGCGAGCTTCGGAGCATGTCCAAGAAACCTCACCGAGACAGAATGTACGATCGTTTGTTTCACTGAACTTCTGACTCTTCTCCTGCATAAATTGGGTGATTCTCGGGGAACGCATGTGGATCGACCATCTGCACTCGAATAAAGCTCCTGCGGCCAACTCTGGAACAACTCTCGAAATCGGCCGCACGATATCGGAATAGAATTGAAGCATCAGAAGCTGATCAATTCCCGGAAGAGGGGGTCTCGTCGCGCCTTGTCATGTTATATCATTATATATAATCATCATATCACAATATAGTAAAATATATATTTCAAAATTGATATCTCCATGGCGTGAATATTCTGATAGAAAAGCGTGCTCGTCTGTTTATCGAGCCCCCGAAATCTGCACATGTATCAGAGACAGTCCGTCTATTTTCTCATCCTTCCCGATTGAGGTCGTGGAGCTTTCGAACCCTTCCCTCTCTGAGAGGCTGATGGTATGCTCGAGGCTGTCTCCAGTACGTCTCGATATCTTCGACGAATCAGAATCGCCTGTCTGCTGTCCCCATCGGGTCGTAGACGGAAGGGAGCGTCCTGCATCTACGCGAACCCTCAGTCGAGTTCGGCTTATGGTAGGGGTCCGAGGATAATTTCGGTGAGCTGAGTGGGTACACGTGGAGCCTCTTCACGGGGGCCCCGAGCTCGGAATCCCGCAGAGGAGAATCCATCCTTCAGTTCCATACTGTGAACGAAAGTTGATGGAAGATCGTGTTCTGGAACGACTCAAGAAGTTAATGATGTCATTCCCAAGATCCGACGAGACCGATGAGAGCCACCCGATACAAGGATTCCTATTGCTACTCTGAGGCTGATAAAACCTGAGCAGGTAACTTCAAATCAGATGGGGATGATGCGAAACTTCGATTCTCTTGAAAATCACCTGTCGGATCCGTGTCTAGAGAATTCTGAATCCGAACTACTCCACGGACGTTCAAGTTGGTCTCGGTCGTTCCCTGACGGAGAAGATCGGACGTCGTTCCCTGACGGAAGTTGAATGATCAATTGCACTGATTGTAAAGCACGGGCCATGTTTCAATCTTGACAATCATCACGGAGTCTTATCTCTGTGCCGGGCGACGGATGAAAGAATTCAAGGCTATCATGTTGAGCGTATCACAAGTTTTGTCGTTCAAAGTTCGCTACCGGAATAGGACCTACAGAATACGAAACAGAAAGAGGTATACGGCTCATGAACGAAATTGTCATCGTCACCCACCTGGAGCTTCTCCGACCGAGACGAGGAACTGAATGCTTGGGGAGACGGAGAAAAAGCAACCAACCACATTCTAGATCTATGTGCCTCGTTTTTTCTTCATTATCCCCCTGTGGATGCGTTGAAAAATTTTCAAGGCTGGTGGGAGATGGAGGCACCCTTAAAGGACGGGAAGTTCTCCTCGCGGAAAATATTCTCCTCGACGCTTAGAATCGCCGCGATTCCTCGAAAGAATCCAGCCCAGACCGCAGCTTACACAGATGTTCGGAAATACTATAAAAGTGTATGAGACCATAAGCCTCAGAGTGAGCGTATGTTATGTAAGCGTTCCAACGCGAGAGACAGATGTTGATTTCATCGGACCGTCCTCGCCTGTGCAGAACTTCCGCCTAGCAATATGGAGAGTATGGAGGCGATAATAAACTCGGAAAGCGTCAGCAGCCGCCGCCATTCGACTCTCGCGAAACCCGAAGACGACACCACAGGCTGTTTGGAAAAAGTTCGACCAGATAGGCGCATTTCTGCGTCGTCTCTGCCGCCAGGGGAGATGCTCCTCGAAAACCTCGCCTTGGTCGTGACAACGTGCTATATAGTTGACATTTACAAGACGCTCCTGAGTTTTTGTGAGTCAACAATACTGCCGCTACCCTGGAAAGAGTTCACCAAATGCTTCCTCAGAACCCGTGAGTCCCCCATGCTGCTCGGCAGTTTCTTCCCGTCGTGAACCATCGAGAAGAGGAGATCCGAGACTTATAGAGCGAAAACCTGGGTACATTGCCCTGAAATGCCCGCGGAACTCGATGGAGGATCCTAGGTTCCGTATCAGCTACCTCAAATCCGGAGGGAACATGGCGCTAAGGAAGTCAATGAATGCGGCGAATGCAAGCGTCTCGGACCGAAACTCAGGGCCGCTTGAACGGAGGTGCGGCGCGGCGGAAGAACGCGCTCCTATCGCTCGACATGTATCTCTTAATTTATCTACCGAGCTGTCAAACCCAGCAACGCATGAACTCTCGTGCTGGAGTGGAGACCGATGATCGGAGAACTGCGTAGCGAAATGTCTAATCCGCTGCTCGTTTTCTTTATTTATCTCGGTCGATCCAACGTCAGCGTCGGCGTATCATTCATTTTCGTTCCTTCACATTTGTTCCGGCGGAGGATACTGCTCGACCAAGAATACCGTCCTCGAACTAATGGCGAGCGTCTGAATGGATAAACGGCTTTCCAGAAGTTTGAACTCACATCTGTGCGCCTATCGTCGTATTCGGGTGTTCTGCTCGACTGTGAGCGCTGCGGGAATCTCTAGACGAGTTTCAGTGGAGCATCTTGCTCCAGTGCTTGTTCCTCTTTTAACGACGCTCTTCCAGCGAGATTTGTCCAACGTTGCCTCCTTCGTAAATATCGCCGTAGATATTCCGAACACCCAGCGAGGACCGCGCGCTTCTTCGTTTTAGCGACGCGATTTCCACCGGAGTCATTCCGAATACGCTCTTCGGAAGAAGAGACTTGGAGTCAGATCAGAGGTGGAATCGGATTGTTTTGAAAATGAGCGGCTCAAAAGTGGAGCGCTATCCCACGGTGTCGATGGATGATTTTAGATTCGCCGAGTCGACCAAAGTTTCAAGTTTTTTTTATCTACGATGAATAATAAGGTGCACTGTGACGTCAATGTCGTTCGCCACCAAGAAATGCCCGTTCATAATCGCAGAAGTCTCAGGGTCGTCTGTAATTGTGCGGACTCTGAGTGAAAGTGCTCCTTGTACGCTCACTGAAATCAAATGGGTTCAGCTCTCCTGCGTTCTGCAGAACACTTCTGATCTGACCCATGCGTGAGGTTCATCCCTCGAGTTCAGATGGCGGGGACCACCGCTCGTGGAAGTCGCCGCGGGGAGTCGCTTTTCAAGAACGGACGGCATGCTGCATAATGCAGCGGTCGTCGAGGTCCCTCTGGGCTGAGGCCTCGAGAGTTCTTGCCGAGAAGCTTTCAGTTGCCGCTCGAATACGTACGCTCAGCTTGAAACTTGCCTGGAAGGTCTCGAAGGTATTCCGAGACGTGATTGGTGCATCTCGCGGACGCAACTCTCCGTGGTCGCCACAAATACTACGCGCGAACGCCGGACGTCTACGGGATCCCTCTCCCGGGGGGAGAACCAAATCATTCTAAGGGAAACGGAACCCTAGTCGGGACAAATCGACATCGATCGCCGTACCCAGACTCGAGGCCCTGCAGGGAAGCTCATGGAATTTTTACAGCGGGCTATCCGATATGATATCCGAGGTATCACAAATGGTGACTCGAGCCGGGCTTCCATTTATGCATCTACGAGACGTGTTTCTACACCACAGTCTGGGACAGTGAATCGGAGTTCGTGTCAAAAGCAGGCGTAATCACAGAGAGCTCTGAGTGTTCCAAAACATAAATCACTGCCTCGCCAGTCGATAATGAGCAAGAAGAAGAATAAACCCCGAAATAGACACAAGGAAGCTCAAAGGTGCAGTCGAGCTCACATCACGTCTACCGAGATATGCCGAGCACCCGATGCCGAATCGATGGAGTCTTTTGCGACATTTTCCGGCCTTGAACATAACGGAACACCAAACAAACGAAACGATGGCTGATTCGGAAGAGCGGTACCGAATGACTCCTCTTCGGTTTTTTTCTGTGAAGGAAGAGGCAAGCCGATGGAGAGTTCGGTGAACGATTCGTCGTGGAAGTCGACGACGTCCGAATCGGATCTGGAATTTGGAACTATGTACCTTTTCGACCATCCTTCCGGCACAAGCTAATTGGGTCGGAAATCCCAGCGAAGTCAGAGCTTTCGGCCGCTGAGAACTTGGCTTGGAGCTCCAGACGATCATTGGTGAACTTCAACAATCGTCTGTAAACTTCCTAATGGTCAACCTAGAAGTTTCGCTTTTCGCAGTTACATCGATAGCATTGACGTCATCGGAGAGGAACGCCCTTTCGGCCTGCTTTCGAAGTGAACATTTGAATTGTTGTAGCAACATAGATATTCTGTGAGCTTTCTGTTCTGGGCTGTCTTACCACCTCAGCGAGCTGGGGCAGCAGCGGCGGCGGCGGCGCGGTTTCCCTTCACCAGTAATCACAGCAAAAACCCGAAGCGGACCTCCTGCAACAGCGCTGTTGCACAATAGCGTACGCAGCGGCAGCGGCGACGACGGCAGCGGCGGCAACAACAGAGAGAACAAACCCTTCTTGCCAACATAGCAAGCAGACTAGACGACAGGGACGGAACTTCTCGTATTCATGTTCTCTCCGGCTACGCGGTGTCTGTCTACAGTTCGGGCGCGGATTTTGAAGCGGGGACACCCGATCCCCTCTCCCGCGGAGCGATGCGTGGATTGAGGGAATGGTGACCTACGTTCCTCCGTCGTTTGTCTCAATATCAAACGAATGAATACAGTGACCCTGGAGTTATGGTCTGGATGAACGGAGCGACGGATTTTCGGGGAAAACGCTCGTTCCCTAACGAAATCACCCTGTTTACCAAAATCGGTGATCGAAGACGAGCAACCCCGCACGGCGGAGGGATGTTGGACGGAGTCGTTGACGACGAACTTTCCAAAATTACTTTTCGATCATGAATGCGATTCACGACTTCATTGAAGCCGGCAGCCTCGACGATGGCCGCGACGATAGCGACGCGCAGTGAAGAAAATCGCTGACTTGGAAGATGGCAGGCAGGCAGGCAGGCGGACAGACGGAGTGGCAGGCTTGTAGACAGCGTTTTTTGTGCGGACAATTTGCTCTCTCACCACATCCTGCGTCGCCACTGGCCCTTGCTTACTACCGTACGGTGGCTGCAGCAGCAGCCGCTGCCGCCGCCGCGAAAGTGGAAGCTTGTTAATCCGCGGATTCTCGTAGAGAAGTGCGCAGTGCGATGATGGACGCTTGCTCGCCTAGTCGAAGGAGAACATGCCACCTCCGGAAACCGCATTTCATTCCCGCGATCGTAGAAGATATCTCCGCTCATCTGACATTTGGACGGCGATACGGAGGCGGCGATCTCATATCCACGCGGAGGAAATCGCTCGTCAGCAAAAAGAGCTCCGCCAGAATCCGGATCCAATGTACGTGTGTGCCTGCGGACGCCGATCCGCGCGGATTATCACATGAGTAGATCTGTTTAATTTGGGAGTTTAGAAGCCATAGATAGGAGTCGAGTCGTCTTCAGGGAGATATCTCTCACAGTCAGTGTTCTCGGAACTCCCGTTCCGTTCTCTCCCTTGCTCTCTGATATTCTCCGCGCAGGATCTCTCGCCAGCGTGGATTCTGCCGGGATCTTCGAGATTCCGATCTTTTCTTGCCGCCCGCGAAGTTCCGCGCGGTCCACGTGCTAGCCGCTTAGGAGCAGCTCTGATTCGGGATCATGTCCGGATCTTTTCGGTGGTCGGACAAGAATGCCTCGAGTGCCTGGGAATTTCTACGCACAGTTTATGCTACATCGCGCATTTCGTGTGGGACTCGGTGCTGATCGAATGAACGAAATCACCAGGCTTTGCGTAAATTCCCCCCTCCCCCCTCCTTCGCCCACAGCGTGTTGGGGGGGCCCGCAAAAATTGACAGAGTCTCTATGAAGTCTGGTCTCCCGCTTGGACTAGCATAGTCACTCGCTGCAGGTGGACACTGCCTGGGAAACCATGTTAGAACGTCGGAATTCTTTCCTTGAACATCCTTGAGGAGTTGCTGCTCGTCGCAGCTTTCCCAGAAAATGTGTATGAACGAAACAAGTTCTTCGAGTGGATCTCACCCGGCTAATGACCGGGTCGTTCCATCTTGGATCGGATTGCCCGCTGATGGAAGCCCCTCCAATTTGACTGGGTCGCTTGCCCTCCTCCGGATATCCCGTACGTATCACGGTGTCGAATGGACAACTTCAGAATATAGCAGTATCGATCGATCGTGGGATTCTGACTCAATAGTTTCCATGTAGATTATCAAATTAAAGAGCGAACGTTCGCTGAGAATGGGTGGATGCGAGGTCGGGGCAGGAGTCAATCAAGGACCATCAAGTTGGAGCTGTGTCGAGCGAGTCGTTTCTATTGTCTACGGGTAGCATCACCCACCCTTCCACCTGTGTGCCGTTTGATCTTTTGAGCAAAGATTCGATGCAGTCGCACTAGAACAGCGAGCTAATTAGAGGGTTGAAGTGCTCTGACGTTCGGAGTCATGTGCGCGCGTATCACCGTCGCGAAGTGAAACTCATACATGAACTCATAAACAACGTAGAGCGCGTGATATTACGGTAACTCGCGGCTTATATTGTTTCATGCGTCGAGGGTGAAACACGAAAGACCCGGAGACCATCGTTTACGATTCATTGCGGTGTGTCGGATGAGAAACGATTGAACAGACCGCCGCTAGTTCACTCAGTTCACTGTAAGATAAACTTCCATAATTCCGCACACTCAATCGCTCCCTTTTCGCGATTCGGCAGAGCGGAGCCGAGCACCCTCGAGATCGACGGATCAGCGGTCGGCCGGGAAGGAGCCGACGCCAACGCGACAGAGATTAGAGACGCGCGCGTCTTGTTCCGAAACTGAAAGCGTTCTAGGTTGGCGACCTAGCCGCCATCGGTGCATGTCGTGCGAACGCTTTCCGAAGCGGCGGACGTTTTCCATAGTGTGACGCATAGATTACCTGGCACGACAGGCTAATCTCCCTTCCTCTCGACTGACTTCAAAGTCGTTGTTGTGGTCGATCCCGCCGCCACCACCACCGCTGCCGACGTCTTCGTCTTCTTCTGTGTGAAGTCGAGTCAGACTTCTGATGAGACGCTCAGTCAGTTGATCCGAAGGTGACATACAGGAACGCGCCGACAACGGCAATCCAGGAAGAGAACAGTGATAACAGTGACCCCTTGTGATCCAGGAGTGTCCTACGAATTCTACCATGGATATCGATTTGTTGTTGCTGTTAGATCTGATCGTCCTGCTGCGGAATTGTGAGTGCCTGCCCTGAGAACTAGAGCTCCACAGCCCCCGTTATCCGACAGTTCACCATATTCCTCGGGCCGATTGATTTCGACACTTGATCAGGGATCCCGACCGCGATAGTTTTCTCCCCATGGTGAACCCTTCATTGTAACGAACTCGCTAACACCAGCTGCCTCCTCGGTCCCTGAATGCGTGTGGAGCTGTTTTGAGGAAATCGCTGGCTCGACCGATTGCGTGAATCAAGCGAGAAAAATACGACAAACGCTCTTCGGGAGAATCCCAACGGATGTGGAAAAATTCCCTCGTATCAAACTGTTTTCGAGCGGTCCCTTGTCCGAGATTTGCGAATCGGAGCTCAATTCTGTTCCGGTCGAGGCCCCGGGACAAGCGAGTGCTCAATATCGAGTCCTATCCCGAGTCGAGGGGCGGCTCGCACATCCGGATCGTGTTGATTCACCCGATTCTTCGAAGGATCATAGCGTCGATTGATTGTTTTCGGACGACTTTGCCACAGCTCTCGGAGCTCTCCCGAGTATTTCGAGTTGACGATAAACTATAAAAAAAAAGACGTTAATGGCAAGAAGTGGCTAAGAGCTGGTGTCACCAGAACGGAAGATCGCCGCCTTGCGATAATGGTACTTCATCCGAGACTCATGACGTCTAAATTCAAATTGAATGGCGGTTTCCAGCGATCAGCTGAATCGTGTATGTGTGTCTGGAGTAGGTTTAGCGGGAGTCCGGTGTATTTTTCCGGCAGTTTCGAATCGAGTCGAGGAAATCGAAACCGCCGTTCGAAGTGCAGAGGTGTCTGTCAGCGGGGAAGCGCCGATCATGTGTCAGCCCGTTGGTCTTTTGCTCACGGAGTTTGTGCTTGCAGATATGCTCACGGTTCTCGAGAACTATCGAGTAATGTTGGTGGCTCGAGTGCGAATCCTTTTGGAGTGGATTCTCCAAGCCTGCATGCACCCTGCATCGGTCTGTTCCCTGCGAGACCTTCAGGAGTGGTTCATCGTATGGAAGTGCTATTTCGCGAACCGTGAGTATTTCCCGACATCTACTCGGATGTGAATTCCTGAGTAGGATCGTTTCCTTTGAGCTTCTCTTGCGCGGATCCTCTCAAGCTCTCGTGCACTCACTCACTAACTCAGAGGTATTCTTGATTTTTACAGTGCTCTCGTTCAACAACAAGGAGAAAGACGAGAAACTCCTCGACTGGGTTCGTTCTAGAGTGGATAAAATCGAGATCGAGAATTTCTCGTCCTCATGGAGAAGTGGTGTTCTCCTGTGCGCACTCGTCGATTCGATCGTGCCCGGCTCGTGTCCCCGATACGATTTGCTGAACGAGGAGAATCGGTTGGGTAACGCTCAGCTCGCGGTTCAGCTCCTGGAAAAGCTCAGCATCAAATCGGTACGTAGACCACGGAAGAGCGAATTAAATGCTTTGAAGACGGTGGAAAGGTCGAGTCCACGCCGCAACGCCCATCTGCCCTGACTTCTCGACTGATTCGATGCCCACGCTCCACTCGGCTAATCGAATATTCTGGTCAGAACCGGAGTTCCCTATTCGATTTTGCATTGAGATCCTCGCCAAGATGAGCTCCCGATCACCTCCACTCTCCCGAGAAGGATCGAATGTCCCGATTGAAAGGAGCCTTTCCGGAGCTCATATTGGGAGTGAGTTCCGCGCGCCCGGAAAACTTCCGGAAACCGAACTGAGCCGCGTCCCAGCCATCCAGAGAGCCGGAGCGACTTCTCTCGGGGTGTAGCTCTGCCGCTTCGGTCTGATGGAACAGAGAATAGAACTCGTCCGGTGACAGCTTCCTTTGTCGCCGATACATCGCAAAGCAAGCTGACTGTGAACGACACAAGTGACAATGTTCGGCCGTCTTCGCAGATATTCATTTAAGGCCATTGCTGTCTGAAACGATGACTCCTTCCAAATCTCCTTCCTTGAAGCTTATTTACTGCCGCCGTAGCTGTTGCCTATGCGATTACCACGCTTTGCCTCTGGCCCGTGAGGCTTCCATGAATTGATCATGGGAGCCACTGAAGCGACCAGAGAGTCGACCTCGAAGAGCCAATGGACATCATTATCGCAGATAGCGTTCGCTAGATGAATATGAAGAGGTATTTTTTTCTCGGGCCATGGGATCTCGATAAGCTGCGTGATTATAGCAAATTGTCGGCAATCATCGGCAGTGCATTGCGTTTCTGTCCGTTACATACAGTCCAAGGGAGAGTGATCACTCGAGCGATGCCTCCTCACAGAAAACTCTTGGGATGACTTGCGTTTTCGATTCTTGTCGGAGAGCGTACAGATTCGACGCCAGATCACTATCGTGGTCCCTGGCTCGGCCTCCAGCCACGCGCTCTGTGAATTATTCATCTCCGAATCTCTCAGGATAATGTCACTTGGCGAACGAAGGTGAACATACGTTCCAATTCCTTGATTGCTCTCTTCAGTTCCTCACCGCTCAAGAGCTGGCCGATGATGATGCCGACATCGAGAAACCCCTCAAAGCTCTCTTGACTCAACTGAGAATGACAGCTGCAAAGAGGAGACTCCGTCACGCATTGAAAAGCCCCTCGGATGACGCGAGTGCACCTCAAAACTCGGAATTCTTCGCTAAAGGTCAGTTTCGAACTAATTGCTTGCCTACGAGGCAGCTCTCATCGACATACCTCTTTCAGAGTAATGCACCTGCTAGATCCTAGGTTCTCGCGAATTTCAAATTGAATCTGACCAAGAAAAAATTTCTTCAACAGGGATGGGTCTGATCTTCGCCGTCAAAGGACGGAAGGCGAGCTTCAACATATTCCGCAGAGGACAACGGGCATTCTCGTTCGTTATCGAGATCCAAGGACCCGACGGCACTCTTGGTTCTGCCCTGATAACACACAAATCAGTCCGTAACCAGGCATCCAACAGCAAACTGAAGCGTCAACTCAGTTCCGAATCCAAGAAAATCGCCATCGACTATTCATTGACGGATGAAATGATCTCCGTTTTCTATACTCCTGTCACGAGCGGGAAACACACCCTGAACATCGTCTCGCAAGGCCAACATATCCTCCGTAGTCCCTACGACGTATCGGTCGACTGTAACACGACCGAAGTGACGGCCAGGGTCGTGGAGACACTTTTCCGTCCCAAGAAGAGCGCTCTCCAGAAATTGGGGAGGCGTTTCAGCGGGACGAGTCTGTTGGCGTCTCGACTCCAGGAGACCGAGGTCGCAGTGCCCTTCCCAAATGTGGAAGCCACGGGCAAAGTTGTCGCGCGCAGGGTCATCAAAAGGTGAGCATCGGGCTTCCGACCTCATATTCCTCTCGGGATTCTTGGTGTTGAGGATCGATTGAGCTTCAGACAGTCAACCCAGGGACCCACCACGGATGAACTCACCTCACGAAGTACTCCAATGATTTCAGAACTATCCTGAATGGAGACAACAACATCGTGGTTCCTGGGGACGACGAGCGCGCACTCGTCAAAGCACTGAAGGACATCTCGAACCTCAATCCCGAAAACCGCGAGAGACTCCGACAGGAACGCTCATTCATCTTGAGACCTGTGTCAGAACTCCGAAACCCCCATGTCAACAAACTTCGATTTCAAATGGTCCGGACCGTTTCGGAAATTTCTGAGAGGTCATCCACCGACGAGGGATCGCCGCTCCAAAGAGAGTCTTCGTTAGAGATGTTCACATCTTCCGGGGCCCGGAGCGAGCAGGACAAGAATATGCTCGAAGCGAATCCCCCCGAGGCGACAGTAGAGAGCGTGACCCCGTTGAGGAACGTGCCTCCGAAACCGCGGAGACTGAGTCTCGAAACTGTCGCGGAGCAAGTCGACCACGACAATCGTGTCCCTCCTCAGCCTCCAATCGGGGGAAACCCTCGAACAGGGGATGAGAACAACAATCCGAAATTCGATCTAGTGCATGATCATGAGTTTCTCATCAGAAAAAGGAACGTTACCCTCAACATAGTCAATGAGAATCCTTACGTACCAAAGGTGAGCTATTTTCGATGTCCCGGTAGGCTTCCGATGATTCTGAGTCATGATCGTGACATGCACCGAAAAAAAACGTATCATCGACCTGATTGTTTTTTCCTCGATTTTCCCGTAGACTAATCATATGCTCCAAACCTACCGACAATCCTCCCACGATGCGTTGACGGAGAAATCGGCCAACGATCGGAGGCTCCTATATCAGATGGAAGCAAAGAGTCAGCGGTTTCGGAGCAGCTGGGACTTCATCCCGGAAAAGTGTCACGTGGACGTGGAGAATGATTCACGGAAAAAGCGGACGTTCTCGAGAGAAGGCCACTTCGGTTCGGGTGACGAAGGCGACGATAGAATGAGCGAGATCGATGGTGACGTCAAAGCTCTGCCGGTCGCATCGGTGCTAGAGAAGGTGGGGCTCCTCGGAGCGTACTTCCTCGGGTCGGGTGGAAGAGCATCAGTATCATTACTCATGCTCAGGGAGTTCCTCTTCTCGCAAATAGATTGTCCTCAAAGCCTTGCGCTGATACCCTGAAAAGCGATGCTTCATCATTATCACCACGCTCACTGACAATGGACTCCCTTCCAGTTCACGCGGTTTTCCCCGACCACTTCGCCCGAGTGCTCCACTTCGGGATCCTCCAACGGGAGTGAGGCCTCAGGACCTCGAACGACTTTCGGTATGGTGTCAGGATCCTCCGGGAACGGCTTCCTGCACGGATACTGATTTCGAAATCAAGCCAAACAAAGTCATGAACCCTCGACCCTCTCGAGAGTTCACATTGTTCTGCGCACCCATCCTTCGTTTTGCTTCAGACACATTCCGCATTGCTCTTTTGAGTTCTATTGTGTTCTATTTATTTCTGAGGTGAGCTCATGATCATCACTACCTTCTCATTTTGCTCGATTCGATAGAAGACAATTTTGAAGGATGTTCTCGATTGAGTCCCCTTACCGAGTATCCATAAGAGAGGTATAAGGACACCCAGAGAATCGTTCTTTCGCCACCAACGGATGAGCAGAAATCGCGGCTCCGATTCGACCTTCCTAATGATGTCTTCGTTCTCGTAATTTCAGTTTCGTCGTGTCGGCCAGTCTCTAGTCAGGCGAGCACACCGTCAGACCTCGAGGACGCGTTTTTCGAAGACGACATTTTCCAACAAGAACTTCTTCAAGAAGCTTTTCCTATGGACGTCACACCGACGTCGAATTATCTCTCTTCTCGGGACCTCTGTTCGAGCATCGATGATTTCCGAGTTTGTCCTCAGTGTTGCGTTGTGTCCGGTAACGCTCTCTACTGTGGGAAAACTCTTCGTCTTATGAGCTTTGAGGTGCGCACTCTTCTCGCAGGAGAGGGTGTTCTCTCAGTCACCGTTCAAGGCTCGCAACCAGATGCCGTTTTGGAAACGCAAGTCGTTTTGGTCGATTGCGGAGTGTACAGGGTGAACTACAGAGTGAAATTCGACGGCTACTACGTCATCGTCGTCAAATGGGCGGATTGGCAGGTGCCCGGAAGTCCCTTCCTTTGCCACATCACCAACTAGGCCATCGCGTCATGTCACATTTGGTCGCAACGGGGAGAAGTCAACTCGAGGCATCGACTTCCCCGATCGCAAATGGTATCGATGTGGTGGAAGACCTGATCGAGCTCGAGTGAAGCTTTCCGCGCTGAACGTGAAAGCAATTTGCATTGAAATTGATTGCTGAAAATCATTGGATGGGTTGACTCTGAGAATAACGTTCCTGCTATACCTGATTGTGAGATATCGAGCGAGCGAGGAGAATTCTGTCTGGAGAATTCTCGGGAGACAGACTCACTTCATGACAGAAAGACTTTACATTCCCGTTTCATAAGAGTACTCTCTCCAAGATTTATCAGGCGTTCGCATCGTGTAATATTTCCAGCCCAGATAACTTGTTTTACGTCAGAAACCTTTATTCATCGTTGATCTTAGCGATTTACATGACGGTATTTGGGCACCTTCAGTGATCGGTGTACGGGAGAACCCCGATTGAAGAGGAGACGAAGTCCCAGGTTGCAATCGATACTGAATCGGTCAGCACAAGCTTCTATACCAACCCTTTTCCTGTGATGGCTCTCAAATTTCGATGGGTAGCTAACCGGAGCAGGATGTGTCATAAGTGCTAATTTATTGTAAAAATGAGCACTTTGTATTTATCTGTATATAGTCCTGCTCGTCAGGCCGAATAAATGTGTATCTTTTTGTGAGCACAAGACCGTTTTTCTTTCGGCGCGCCAAACGAGCTTGCCTCAAGGGGTGAGATTCTCGTGATCCTCAAAGGTTTCTGAAGGAAGGCAGCTTTCCGCGAAGTCTCGACACTCTCGGCCTGTGACGCCCCTTCATCGATCGCCGCTGCTGAAAATATCGGATGAGGCTTTAGAGACCAATCGAGTTCCGTCGAACAATCGCGATAGTTAACTGCATGATTTCAGATGTGATCCTGGGAGGTTGTGAATCTCGGGAATCTCTACACTCGACTCGGAACTCTGAGCTATCCCAAGGAATATTCGGAAAAACATCCGCTGAGATTCCGTTCTAAAAGAGCTTGAAGGTATCAAGAGTCCTGAGACTCGGCTGAGAGTGCTCAATACGAGCTGTCCATTGGTGCACCCTCCGTAATGCTCCCGCGGACCCGAACGCTGTGCGGTGCGTCCTTGCCGTGCCGCTTGTTCCCCGTCATGGTAAGCATCCCTTCCCCGGATTCGAAACGCCCCCTCTGATTTTCCGACGCTACGAGACTAATCTTTCGCCCGCCTAAGGCATCCATGTATTCGTTCACTCGAAGGCACGGATAAACGAGCGTGGTGAATTTCACCGAGCGAAAGCGCGGGAACTCTACAGACCTCGCTCAATAGATCACCATCAGGGATTGTAGGAATTCTCCGCGGCGGCAAAGAATTCCTGTGGACATTCTGAGAGCTGAAATAATCCGCGTTGCCCCCGTGCGGTCTCCTGACCCGCTCGGTTTCATCTCTACGGCATCGAGGAAGAAATTACGGAATATGGCTAGCCCCTCATGGTTTTCTCTACGAGCATGGGTCCTGAGCCTGCTCTTCGCTGCTAGAAACTGCAATCCAAAACATATCCGTTTTTCTGGAAAGCGAGGTCGCTGCTGAATGCGAGGGTTTCCGAGTCAGACATCGCAGAACTTGCCGGACGAGCCGTACAGACCCGGAAATATCGACCTGCAGAAATATCAATCTGTAGAGCTGGTCGGGACTCAGCCAGAGACTTCATGATCGCGCGAGAGAGAGATCCGAGCCCCGAATTCCGTCCACCTCTTTCGAGTCGGAATGTGAAAGAATGTACGGGGAGGATTAAGACGACCCACTCTCTCCTCGATTATCAGAAGACATTTTCAGCTCTCCGAAGTATCTGATTGATCCCCATTTCGGCCCACGAGAATAACGCATTGAGCGATGGGGGTTCGAGGCGAGTTCCCCCCTTACATGGCTCCCTCACCCATCGGAGGCCCCTCTCCACATATCGCGCTCATTCTTTTTCGATTTAAGCATGCTCAAGAGGGAGCGCAGCTCATTCGATTGGAAGCAACTGTCGGTCAAAGTTGTGTTTCGCTACTCTGTTCGTGACGAAAAGTATCGGCCGGACGAAGTGCTCTCGAATACTTGACATTCACTTTTGGCTTCCCTACCTAGTCCGGGAATTTCGAATCGCGCGCTGGCTGTTCCCCCCGAACGGCAACGTCGGCCGCCATCTTGAATCTACCTTGTGGCCCGGACTCCCCGGTGTTGTGCTTCTGTGTTTCATATATATATATATTTTCGAGCGAACTTCTCCCCAATCGAATGAAGATGGCTCTATCTATATCCGTGGAGCTTGATGGTGATCGACTCAAGCTCAAAACTCCGGTGCCAATCAAGGTCGGCCGCGTAAAGGTAATTGAAACTCGCGTCCGTAGCATCGATCAGCCGTTTGTTCCACCTGAGCCCCGCTCATGAAGTCATGCGCGGTCTATCCAATCGTTCGAGTTTGAATTAATTTGCTTATCTCTGCAGGTCAAGAAAGAGTTCCCACTTTACGTGAATTCAGTTGTACTTACCTATGAGAGTTCAAATAATATCGGTCGTATCAAGAGCGCAAACTTGAAATGTCCATTCGGCGGTACTGTGGGCAAAGTGTTCGTCGAAACTAATGCGACCGTGAACGATGGGTGAGTCTCGTCCGGAGGAACGAAGCTGAGGCAAATCTTTTTTCCAACCGAAAATTTCCGTCGTGTCCGCGTTTCTTGATGATTTCATGCAATTTCCCTCTTCCAGAGACACCTTGATGCAGCTGAGGATTTGTTCACACTCCGTCAGGGATAAGGACGTCTGTGCCGATTGCGGAGCCCACTTAGAAGAGTGAGTGATGTCGCAACAAACTTTTGGAATCAGCGTGTCGAGCTCAGGAAATCGTTGTTTCACACAATGAACTAAGCCGATCGATTTCTTTCAATCAGGTCAGCCAGCGGCTTCGGTCCAGATGCGGCTTCCGTGTCTATGATTCACCACATGCCCCATCTAAGAGTCAGCGAAGAACTTTCTCGCTCCATCGGGAGGGTAAGCATAGGCTCCTAGAGGGCGTGAGCTGCCGAAGATCTAGAAGCTCGGTGTGATATATACATGTCGGAAATTATTCAAATTATTATACATAGATCTGACGGTTTCCCCTTCCAGGATGATGAGCTCCGCTTACTGACGCAAAAAAAGCTGGTACTACTTGTCGATCTCGACCAGACTTTGATTCATACCACGAGCGAGCCTGTTTACGATAAAATCAAAGGTGTTCATCACTTCCGTCTACCCAGCAGCAATAACGCATGGTATCACACTCGGATACGTCCGGGAACGGAAGACTTCTTGAGAAAGGTAGGAGGAAAACATTATTTCTTCATCGATGCATTGAAGCCGCGAAAACGTACTCGACCGCCGCAATGTTTGCTGCTCGCGGAGGAAGTCGAATTAGGCGGCAGAACTAAAACTTTCCCTTTCAGATCTCCCAATTGTTCGAACTGCACATAGTCACATTCGGAGCCCGCCCGTACGCGAACCACATCGCCTCCTTGCTTGATCCGGGGAAGAAATACTTCCAGTATCGGATTCTGTCTCGTGATGAATGTTTCAACCCGCAATCGAAGACCGCGAATCTTAAATCTTTATTCCCGTGCGGGGATCAGATGGTTTGCATCATTGACGATCGGGAGGACGTCTGGAACTTCGCTTCGAACCTTATCGCCGTGAAACCTTACGTCTTCTTCCGCGGAGCTGGGGACATAAATGCACCAGCAGGCTTACTCGCAGACTGTCATGCGCTCCCCGCGTCCGAAGGCGGGACATGTAGCACTGTTCTATCTCACAGAAATCCCGAAGCTCTTCGTGCGGATCGAGAAGTGGTGGCATGTCTCCAGGGTCTCATAGAACACACCTGTGGCGCGACAGACGGCTTCATCGATTATGAAGACACCGACGACTATCTTCTTCATCTTGAGGACTCTCTTCGAACGGTAATATTTTGCTCGGTATTATTATCACCTACTCGAATATTCCATGGGGATCATCCTGAAATGCGCCAAGTCTCATCTGAAGCTAACAAGGCTTTCCTCACAGGTTCATCGAGCGTACTTCGAGCTGTACGAGCAGATGAAACATGAGAAACATGGTGAAGCCTCGTCCATTCCGGATTTGAAGACAGTCATTCCGTACGTCCGGCAGAAAGTTCTGAAAGACGTGGTCATCGTGTTCACCGGCTGCTTCCCCATCAATCAGAGACCGGAGAGCGCTAAGATTTTCTTGGTCGCGGTTTCCCTAGGCGCGAAGGTTCAAAAAGAGCTCAGTAAGGAGGTGACTCACCTCGTTGCCGCTCGACCTGGGACCGCAAAAGTTCAGCAGGCAAGAAAATTCCGATCCATTAAGGTAAGACAATCGGAGAGTACTAATTTGTTGTCAAGAGAATATGCGAAATAAGTAATGAGCGATGCTAGAAATGCCGTCATTCACTGATTTTAGTAGTCGTCAGTTGTGGACATCCACCATGTCCAATGTACGAAGACTACTCCGATTGCATCGGAAACTCAGCAAAACGCTCGCCTTTGAGCGTGCTGCTCGAGGGCGCTCGCGTGATATTCATTTGGAGCCTTGAATGTTCCATCCGGGTGTATCTGGAAAGAAGATGCATATCGATATCTATCGAACCTAAGCAGTTTTCTGATATACTTTCAATTCTGCATTCCAGGTGGTCTCGCCCGACTGGCTGTGGTCTTGCGCCGAAAGGTGGGAGAAATCTTCGGAGGCATTATTCCCATTGAAGGACGTGCCTGTCGACGCTGGCAAATGGCGTGCCAGAGGGGGTGTGCCCGAGAGAGCTGCAAAACCTGAGGACGGGGAGGCTGACTTCCTTCGTGAAGAGATGCTGAAGCTCTCTCGGAGGAAGATGCTTCCGGAAGCCCTAGTTCCTTCACTTGTCACCGAACATGACGCTCTCGCCGAGATGCTGAAAGAAGTCGATGATGAGCTTGCCGATGATGATGATGATGATGATGGAGAGGAAGGAGATGAGGACGAACATCCGCTGAAGAAGATGAGATTCCAGTGATTCGGAGAGCGGAAGAGCATGCCACGACACGGGTCGAGGCAGCGCTCTCAATCAGCCGAGAAGCGACAAGTTCGGGGATCAGCCCCTAACCATACCGTAATCTGTGATATAATTAGATAAGATAAGTGATAACTTAAGAGATTCCCATGCGGTTGCTTCGGGACGAGAGATAGCGACGGAGGAGCCGTAGGCTACATCGAGCACAATAAATACGGTGGAATGATCCACATTCATATCGACCTTGTTCAATCTCAAGATTTTCATTAATCACCGAGGACGCCAATATGCGCAAGACTGCCGGGATCTAGGATCTTGCCCTCGGGAAAAATTTTAGATAATTATCCCCGCCTCGGAAATCATCTTCGCGCCACACCTATTGCCGTCTAAATATCACCTATCTAGCGAATCTGTGATGCAAACCGTATTCCGTTGCGGTCGATCGACTTCCAGTGCAGAGAGGGATGTTGACGAAGTGAATTTTGAAAGTTGACGAAGCGTCGGATCCGGACTATCTCGGAGAACGCCTAGAGCACCGCTCGTGTAGGATCTCGAGGAGCATAGGTGTAGCGTTTATCGCTTTTGCCACTGTTCGGAATGGGACCGGAAATGAGGATTCATTGATCTGAGAAAAGCTCTTCATTTATTTGGAACGAAAGAGACTCTGCAATGGACTTGTTGACAGTCGCAAGACATATGACGGAATCGTTTCCGCTTGTACTGCTTCGACACTGCGACCAGATTCAGAAAATGAGCTTGCGGAAGCTCGTCTACGAATAGGAAATTTAGACCCTGGCTCGCCCACCAACTGACTAGAATCGTCCTCCAGTGTGCGAGAGATTCACATGGAGACATTCGGACGTTTATCGCCGATGGTCTTTAGGCACGAGGGCTGAGCTCCCCTCACTGTGATGGAAATTGGAGACTATCGCTGGTCCCGTCCCTTCTCCCCTCCCAGAATTGCCAATCTGAGCGGAGCCTTTCACGTGAAATGTGACCCACATATTGGCAGATTCGAATTTACATGTTCATCTGCGACTGTCAAGGTATTGTTCCTCGACATCGCTTCCGGCTCGTAGCAGAATGAGAATGGAGTGAAATCCCACTCCCTGTCAATTCAATCGACCTTTGAAGGCGAACAAGGCATCGATTGCGTAAAACGCGGCGTTCAAGAGACCAAGTACCTGCAAGGAGGAAAATTGTGATGCTTGCTCATGAGATTATGGGGAGCTATGAATGCGCACGATAAGCGATGAGTCGGGTCTGCCAACGCGGATTCCGAGAAGACATCCAATAACTCACCCCTGCTACGATGGCCCTGGTGCTCCCCCTGATGTTCGGTGCCTCAACAACTACAGCCAGGCCCCCGCAGAGGTAGAAGACGAAGCCCAGAATGTGGTAATTCAAGTACTGTGATAGAAGTATTAATCAATTAGATCAGGAAAACATTTCGATCTGATTGAGACTTGCGATCATGAAGGATTCGATGGATGAATCAATGCGGGTTCGGAAGGTTCGCAGTCCTCGGAAATGCTGGCGATTCGCATGCGAGAACTTTTTCTCGATGAATACTCACAAATAGTGTGGTGAGCAGCGTCATCCCAGATAGAGATGCTACACACGAGCCCAGCATGAGGCCAGTAACAATGAGAAAACAGAATGATGTCAATTGAAGGAAATGAGACCAGGTGAAAACTGCTGTATGCTCCCACCAGACGAGGAGCAAGAGAACTAAGAGTCCCACGAACTGTTGAATGAGAAGAAAAAAACGTTAGAGGCTTGTGATTGCAAGGCAGTGCTCAGAAAACGAATGACGGAACGGAGTCGAGACCGAAGAACGGTAGCTACCCCATGAATTTGCGAAGAACTCATCCATATATTTCCTCGATCTGCCGCGATCGTATCATTATTTAAAATCCTTATTTCACTGTCGGAGGTTGATAGATCAGCGGAGGAGATTCCTGATCGGATCGTTTGATCCTCTCGCTGGAATTCCATCTCGAGGCACGCGGAGATAATCGACAATAAGCGCGACCTCCATAGTCGACGCTTGCTCTTCGAAGCGTAAGCACCGAGCAGAGCATGTGCTATGAGAGCCCGTCGACAGGGTGGGACCGATTCGGCTTCAGAGAGTGCGCTGACTTATACCAACGACTAGCAGGAGTCGACAGCCTTGCATCGTTCGACTTTCTTAGAGATTCTTTGATTCCGAGTCAGGGTCCTGCAGGATATTTATGATGACTTGACTCATCAATACGGTGGGAAGCGTCCTTCATTGGCCGAAGAACCTCCCACTCGTGCTCGGCGGGGGCAAAGTATTGGCTATGATCCAGGAGGGACTGGTGCTCTTCCAACGGTGTGTTCTCAGGAGACATGAAGGTCATCCGAAGTATGGAGCTATTGGCTCGGATTCTCGAGCACATGGATGTTGTTGACCCCCGTTTTTTTTTACGGAAATGAAATCTCGTTGTGATCTGGGACGTGTCCTCGTGCTCGTGGTGATAGGCGCGGACAGGATTCGGCAAATACGACTTTTTTCCCAGCTGGACGCGCGTCCGGTCGTGAGACAATGCATCAAGCTTCATCGTTTATAATGGAAACAGCCATTCGCAGAAATTCGAAGGCGAACTGATGGCGGATGAATCGAGTTGTTCGAGCAATGGGCCAAGGAGTGTCTTGAGGTCGGGAAACCGCTTACGCTTGTCACAGCCTTTTCGGTCCTCTCTGCCATCAATGATTTCTGAATTTATTTCTGAAGGAGATCAAGAGTTCGATGGCTCTCATCGCTCCGATAGAGCATCCGTTCCGATTCGGTAACACGGGCGTATCCTTGGAGATCATGGCCGACCTTGATGATGGAATCTGTGCGCTGGTCCCACGACGGGACATTCGATGCTCGAGTGATTTCTATTGAATTTTCTCCCAAGAGCACTCCGCTGCGCGACTCTGCGGTCGGACAGGCAGCTTTTCGACAACTGGTTGTCCGCGGAACAGCAGCCACGAACGACACCCGCAGTGCGAACGAATATCGCCTACTCACGCGAATACGACTTCAATGCCACATGACGCATAGTATTGACAAGTCGGTCCGCAGGCTGGTTGAAGTTTTCATAGAATTCAGAAAGGGATCGAAAATCGAGTTCCTGTCCTCTGGACACCGTCTGAGCTCCGAGTGGGATGAGTTTTCATTCGGGCGAGTTCCTAACTTTCTGAGTCAGAACCGGCTTCAGTATAACTCCGCTAAGGCGAGAGAATTTTATTCTCAATTTTTTCCGAAAATAATTTCGTCCGCAGAATTCTGCCGAGCCTCGCTCGGGAGGATCTTACTTGTCTCCTACGCGGAACGGATTTTTTTCACCCTTCGAGAGACTTCGGGATTTACTTGATGCTCGCAGACATTCGTAATCGGTGACTCACATCCTTCTTCTCCTTTCTCTGACATTCCCGATCAGCCACCGCACGGCTGAGTATCGGATCCGGAGCGTTTTTCTGGTATATGGAGGAGCCGTAGAAAAACGAGGAGGCCGGAAAATACCTCGAGTCTGCGTCCCAGTTCTCGATTCTTACAGGTTGCTCTCTTCCGGCTCATTGCGGTCTCGACGCGGGCTAAATGGTTCGCAGGGTTTCCTCGGACCCCATAGGTAGGCAAGTTCATCTCAAGCCAGGGACAAAGATTACTTCTATCTGTGAGACTTCGACAACAGCCGACGTCGACACGACAGTGATGCCGCAGGAATAACTCATCAGATATCGCACTCGGCCTCGATCGAACGATATGTGGAGCATGAGCCCATGGCAGTCGCCGCGCATCTTCCGAACCAAGGTTCATCTGAATTATATGGCGCTTCATTTCGGTCCAAAAGCGATAATTCATCTCTAGCGCCTATGCTCGCGTTCATGACAGGGTGAGCATCTCGTCCCGACTGACTCGGTAGACGCTCCGCGGGAAGCAACATCGAATTTTACGAAATTACATAAGTTTGAATCATCTCAAACAGAATGCCACGATTTCTCGTGCGGAGACTTCATCGGTCGCCCGAAATTCGGGAGCGAATGGAGAAGCTCCGAACAGCTGTGCGAAGCCCGTTCGGGTCTACGCGGCAGATTCGCAACTGACTCAGAACTGCAAGAGTTTTTTTGACTTTTCCGAATAGGTACCCACCAGCTGAGCGATCTTCAGCCAGCCGTTTATGGTGCGGAGGTATCCGGTGTTGAGACTCAGGAAGCCGCTAGACGTGGTTCCTGTCACAGTTGTGGTGGTCGTCACTTGCGCTCTGGTCTGCATTCTGTACAGGAGGCAGTAAAATCCCGATATTCCGATCCACCGAAACGTGCGCTAACTACGCACGAAAACCGCTCGCTTAATCGAATGGTGGCGGCTCGTCTGAGTGTTCTTCTCGCGGACGATCACGGCCGCACACACACGGATATTCATACACACAGCACCGCACGCCCTGGCTCACTCGAAGTTCGGTCGAAACAAGTGGTGCTGTCTCCTGCGGAAAGGTCTTTGAGACGACGGCAATGGCCTCGGAGAAGCCGCAGGGTCTTCAAACTAGGACGAGAGTGGGAGACTGTCTTTAGAGAGAAGAGCAGGGCCCCGAGCGATCAGGCTCTCGGGCAGCGCCAGAGGTGGCGGCGAGACCGGCGACAACGGAGAGATTCTGTGGTCACAGCAGTCAGAGGATGGATGGCGACGGCACGAATGAGTAGCCAGCAAGCAACAGTTGATTTCTTGGAGTGCCACCAACGAAGGCGGCGCTTGCTAACTAAGAAGGACCGGAGGGCGTTGTTGGACACAGATGACGGAACCCGCCACCTGTCGTCGCCCGTTCGTTCCGCTCAAGGAGAGGAGCCCTTTCTGACGTTGTTGGACAGTCGCGCTGGGGATTCCGCCAGGTATGCCGACAGAAGTTCCGTCGCGTCGGCGGAAATCATATTCACTCTGGAGATTTCGGTTCTCGGGAAGCTGACAATACTGGCTGGAGCTGGCTGGCACGGTTCTCATCCTGGGTAATGCACCCCGAGGCATTTCTTTCTCGCCGCGGCCATCGCTATGATATCTGCAGACGCCATTGTGGCCTGAAGTTACCACTTTTCGATCCTTATTTGATGCGAGATGAATCGCCGAACGTCGAGTCTGTCCGCTGGGTTAGCCACGAGAGTGCTGCTCACACGGTCTAGATGTAGATGAATGAGTCGAAATCTAGGTGCAAGGGATGCGGTAGGAAGCAGGACTTGGGCGACCCCAGTCGCTCTTCCGGCCCGACCGAGGGTATTCTCTAGCGCGGAGCGTGGCCTCTAGGAATCTAGAGACAGATTTCATACCGGCGGATAGCGGCTAAATATCCGCAGGTAATTCGGTTGGGCACGCTTCTGTGGTAGGTAGAGACATGATATGCACGGGTTGCGTGAATTTGCTCCTCGCAAGCGGCAACGATCCATTAGCGGGTTCAGCCCGCGGACGAACTCTGAAAAATCTAGCTGATACGAATAGGGGAATCGTGGAAGTTGAGATCATGCAACCGAATCGCCTGAATCGACTACCGGATCGGGACTCCGTATGGTGGACGGAGGTCGATTTCCGGAATTCATAGCGGGCAGGAGGATCTTCCCGATTCGCTCGAACGGGATTAGCATCAAGCAAAGACCGTCCACATTGAGAATGATCGGAGAGGTCTCAGGAGCAGTTTCTCGACAACTTGAGCGCAGGACTTGTACCTTGAATGATCTTATCCCGTTCGTGCGCCTAATCTGCATTCTCAGCTCCAGACTTTCCACTTTCTTATTTGTCGAGAGAGGAGCATGCTGACAGATGGAGATTCCGACAGCGCAGCGGTCAGATCGGGAGACAGACCCTTCGAGACTGTGACCAGATGGAACAGGAATAGAGTCGAAAAGTTCATATTCCGAACTTACACATGCTCATTGTTCCACAGACATCGGGATGAGTGATGGCTCGCTTGTCGACTCGAGTTTCTATCAAGCTCAATACTGGGTTCTATGCAAGACTGTCCGGGGCCCCTACCGCGCCCAGGGGTCAATTTTCATGGTGGTGGCAGAGCTCAGCGGCTTAGTGATGCCGCGGATCGGCGCGCAATCGCTCATCGATGCTCCGGAAGTCGCCAAGCTCACTCAGATGAGAGACTAGGATTATTTCTTCCTTAGAATCGACCGAGTCCCCATAGGAGACCTATCGATATTTCACTGTCTGGCGAATAATAGGACGGCTTACCGATGGGACATCCTGATGAGTCTCTGGGGAAGCTTCTTCGAAAGTCTTTCGGGAGAGACTTGGAACGCTTCCTTGTCCACCCATTCTTGCCGCTGACTTGTGAGACTTACAATTGATTCATGGAGCTCCGAAACCTCTCACAAGGAAATCCGCTGAAAACTCCATATCTCCCTCCAATGCTGGACCGGGCTGCAGAGTCCTACAGATCCTTTGATTTTTTTTATTCGATCGAGATCCCGTTCCGGAATACCTACCTAGTACCTAGGCATCGATGCTTGGTGGCCCCTCTGACTGACTACCGACGAATCCGTTTTTCCCGTTGCGTCCTTTTCTACCTTGGAACTCGATCGATCCACCAGGAAATTCCTCAAGATTTGTGCCGAATGAGTGGGAAGATGATCATCTTACTCTGAGCGCGTCGGCAGCCGTATAGACGTCCAAGTGCTGAATCGACTGAGCGTCTCATCTTCGATGGCGTGTGAGGGATACATTTCCCGTTTGGCAGCGGCGAGGAGAGAGATCGACACTCTGGGTCTGTGATTTCGGGCTTCGATTTTTTTCTCAGTCCCATTACGTATTCAATGAGAGCAACGACTATGATTAGCCCGGGTGTCACGGCCATGAAGACCATGAGTCCCGAAAGTTGGGGTAATTCCAACGGTTTAAACGTATTATCTGGGATATGCGGCGGCAAATCCAAGATATTGAACCTCTCTTTCAACTGATGGTGCAGCCCCGATTCGAAATAGTAACTCAGGAAAGCAGAGATTGGCCTCTCGAAAGCGCAATTCTTCTGGAAGAACCAGCATTGAGGCATAATAAGGACGGACTCCGAGCTGACATGGACGCTCCGATTGCGGTCGAAGCGATTGAGCTCGTAGATGAGGAACGTTGATTCGAAAAGCCAGAAGTCCTTGTATTCGCCCCTCCTGAGCTTCCCGATGACCGCCGCCGCACTACCATTCATGACGACCGAATGATCGAAGAGAGGTTTGGCCTCTGAGCCGAAGGTACTCTCAGATTCCTGCATTCCTTTAGACATGTAACAACTGGTGTTGTGCTCGCTGAGGTAGGCGAGAAGGTCCGAAACTCGATCGATCGCGTCCTTGAAGGGAGTCAGCGTCGTGAAAGTGACCCAGACTCCGTTGAACATGGATGTGAAAGTTAGCGCCATGAGGGACCAAAGCACCAGGAGCGCTTTGATCTGCGACGGGACTCGGGACGAGCAGGTCATGGCCAACGTGCACCAGGGATGGAAAAGACGACTCATGTAGAACCAGACCAGGGTGAGGAACTTCAGGAAACTCCCCGCACCCAAAATCAGGAAGCTCACGAAACTGAGTAAAATCGCAGAAGCAACCAACAGGAACATGAGTTTCAGGCCGATGGAATCGAAGACGGTGCTGATGGTGACCGGCTTGGTGTCTATGCGTGACGCGAAAGGCACAGAATTGATATCGTAGCAGAAACTCTCCGAGAATAGAGGGAGCCCCTCCGGAATCGGTTTCTGATTACTGAATGACATGACAGCTGTTCGTTTCAGGAGAAAATCAAGCATTCCGTTAAAGGTCCCGTTTCTGTTCACTGTGCCTCCGGTCGTGATGTTGGTCCGGTTTCCGATGTAAAAATACGTGAAATTCATCGCGGCGCTGATATGCCGCAGCATAACGTCTTCAAAGCCTCCGGTAACTCGCACCCGTAGCGATTGATTGGTGTCTTGAAGTGTCAGGTACGGGCTCCGGTGGCGAACCACGATCGAGAGCTCCTTCTGCCTTGGGTCCCTCCGACGGAGCGCATAGGCCAGTGGATCGGCGAGCTCAGCTTGTTGGAGTTTTCCGGCGAGCCCGCACTTATTGCATACGTATTGGCTGGGGGCAAGGCTGAAGATTGTGAGCTCCTCGTTTTCGCTGGAGGTGTCACGAAATATGATGAGAGTCTCATTCAAATTAATGCGTTTATCCGTGACGACAAGAGCGTCGCAACAATTCCGCAGCCAGGGGTGCATCCTCATTTCTCCTCGAACCGAACAGAAGACAGCCAGGAAGGGATAGCACGTACCCACCAAGAGCTCCAATCGAGCTCTGAGATCCGAGACGTGAGTCTGATCGATGATGAGAATGACTCCGATATGTTTCTCATAGGGATTCACCTCTTCGTACGACCTCCAAGTTTGGGTGAACTCGTCGTCGGTGGAATTCGGCAGCAAGCAATACTCGGACTGACGTCTGATGCAGGGTATATCCCAGCATATGCAGTCGGTGTTCTTGTCGTAAAATCGTTCTTGGTACGGATTCCGAGAGAAGCCGATTTTGTGAATTAAGACTGCTTCCTCGGCGAAGGGTAAGCCCCCTCCGAAAATGAACTTGGACGCTCGACACGAGCCGGAGCAGGTTGAGCACAGGAGACACAAGGAACAAATCAGAGTCACGTCGAGAGGAACGAAACCAAAATGCATATCTCAGACGGACGCGAACGATTGAATCAGGGCGCCCGACTTATCCACTGGGACCCGTTCGGTGTACCGCCGGTGCGTGGTGAGACATCACTGCAGACCGATGTAGTTTTCGTGTCAATTCCAATCCACCGATGCTGGCCCGAGAGTGCGACTGCGCACGGCAAGAGCCGTTCCAATTCCCGTTTCGCCAATGCTCGATCGAGAGGGGGAACTCTCGTTCCCCCCACCCTAACCCCCGAGAGCGGCATGAATCCCAGGGTTTGATACTGTCAACTTCTCGGTTCTTCTATGGAAGATGCCCGACCTTGGCGGAGCCTCTGCAAGTCCTGATCCTTGAGCTTGTGCAGCAACCGTCAAAGAATCAGCTTTCATCCATACTGGGATATCGAACGCATTAGCGCAAACACAGACATTGGATCACTTCACTTCCGAAACGCCTCAAATCATCGCCGCACCGTCCTCAGATCGATCCCATCGGTCCCATTCTACGAGTGTCCCATACTATCCGAGTGTCGAGGGTAATCCAATAAAGCTCCCCCGGGTTGGAAATACAAAGCTGCAGAGACACTCGCGAGACCGAATGTCGTGAGTAGTCACGAGTACGTGGCAGGACGCCCATGCCCCTGGTCGGGATAGCGTGCCGGATCTCCGAATCATCGCCAGCAACGAACAAACATAAAGGCCGTAAAACAAAATCATCCTGCATGACTCGTCGGGAAATCTCAGTCTCCGCGATGTGATGGAGTGATGTTCTCTCTGGACGTGGCCTTCTCCCTCTGTCTGAGCCTCGAGTTCGAAGCTGACGTTTGCCGTTCTGGCTGATGCTTATGTTCCGAGGTAGTACTTTATTTTTCCCTCGGCTGCAGGAATGGTGCGATGTCATCGTGCTCGCATAAAAAAAATCCCCATTAAGCGTAGTC